TATATTAGGGATCAACCCTGATCACAGTTCTCCACACCAAAAAAAAAAAAAAAAAAAAAACCCCAACCCCCCCCCCCCCCCCGGGGGGGGGGGGGGGTTCAATTGTTAGAAGATAAATCTTTCAAAAAATCAATTTTAACTCTAATGTGTAAACCAACACTGCCTCTGAGAGTACTTCCCTCAAGCAACCTACCAAGCATATTCAAAACACCAACATTATCTCTCATAGCAATTCCATCAAACAACTAACAAGCATGTTCAAATCACCTGTACAATTGAGAGACCTAAGTCTCATCTCCACCAACTCACGTATACATATTTAGATAAATTGCATACATACATACACACGCAAACATTGTGAATCAAAAGATACAAACAATCTACTCACAATGAGAGAGAGAGAGAGAGAGATGAAAAAATTGAGATACAAATGAGCTTAAGCATGAATAGAAATCGACAATTTTAATAAAATATCTGTACTTCACCCTACCCCTTAGGTCTTAATCTAATTCCAATAATTAATTCTAACATATATTACGCAAAGTCAAACCCCGAATCCCCTTCATTTCAAATATTTTTTATCCAGATGCAAGGGATTTTTTTTTTTTCTTCTTTTTTTTATTTTATATTTTATAGATAAAGGGCGTACCCAGTGCACGAAACTCCCGCTTAAGCAGGGTCTGAGAAAGGGTTGATGTACATAGCCTTACCCCCGCAAACGGAGAGATTGTTTCCGCGACTCGAACCCGTGACCACCAGGTCACCAAGGGGTAGCTATTTTATATTTTATAGATATTATTAATAATTCTAAATGGAAGTATCAATCTTATAATTGTATGGATATGTAATTCCAGCTCTTCCATTGTACATAAAACACAAAGTAGTAGCCCTCCCATGTCCCTATCCTTGTCATTCTTTCTTCAAAGTTTACCATGTGGATACGACCATAATTGGTCAAACCATCTCCCTACCCAAGTCTATTACTTTTGAGCCATGTGTACAAGATAAGGCACATGGGAAGGGTATGGCACCTAAAATTTTTACTTGTGAAACTAATGGGGTTGGACTGCCCATAATTTACTATTAAACTTAACTCTTTAACCACCCCAAACCCAATTGTTGGCTTACTTGAAGCATTTCATCAAGCAATTCAAACGACTTGCCCACTTTTCATTGAATTTTTTTTATCTTAGGTCAACTTCCCTATTTTGGAAAACAAATTTTTATATAACACCACTCATCAGTTATTGCAACGCAAAGAGCAACATTAACTTATAATAGAACTCATTTGAAATCAAGAACATTAAGCCCTCTACTTGAGGATTTTTTGAGGTGAAAAAGTTTGACCCAATTGCATTTTGCAATCTTTTCTACAGCAAAATAAATAAATAAATAAAAATGTTTGCTGGTATGTGCATAGAAAATAGTACAAAGAGAAGACCACAGAAACAATAACTCAAAAGAAATTCATATAGTGATCTCCAAAATCACAATTTCATACTAATAAAAATCAGACATCACAAAAAATAGGGCAAAAAAAGTAAACCAGAACCTAAAACAATTAGGGTTTGAACTTATAACAATTAGGGCAAATATTGTTCAATTAAAATGTTAGAGAGAGAGAGATGACTCATGGGCGATGGCGGAAGAAAATGGCAGATGGATGAGGGAGGTGGTGATGGATTGAACTCGAAGAAGAGAGAAACTTTCCCACTGTCTCTAGGTATAGAGACAAGTCGGTTTGAATGGGAAAATTTTAGGGGACAGAGGGAGGGAATTATAACGGGATAATTGGTCTAAGGTCTCTCTTCCACTTTTGGTAATAGAAGAGATTCACAATATTATTTTATGATGTCTAAGGTCCTTCAACCTCAAACTCATATATCACAGAGAAATTTAAGAAGAAACGTAGGGCTTCAAAAACTGAGTTTGGTCTCTCTTCTCACTCTCTACTCTCTCTCTCTCTCTCTCCCTCTCTTCCCTACATCAAACAGTGCTTCGTCTATCTCTATCTCTCCTACATCAAACCAGTGCTTCGTCTTCGCCGAACAGCACTCACCACCTCTTGAAACGCCGCCACGCTACAAGGAACAACCAACCCATCTCTCTGCTCGAACCCAAACTCATCATAAGCTTTCTCTAACAGCATCTTGAATGGAGGATGAAAGAGAAACCCTGTCGGCACCACGAATCGCCGCCTCTCCTTCCCCACGTAGACTGCAAAATGCCCAATTGGTGTCCCCGGCGACGCTGTCTGTGGCGACCGAACAGCACTCACCACCTCTTGAAATGCCGCCACGCTACAAGCGTCCATCCAAGCAACCCAAACTCCCTTTGGGTTTGGGATCCTCTTTTCCCTCAAAACCTGCAACAACTCCCCATCATTTTGAACCAGATTCCATTACCAACTATGCTTTTCGTTTCCAAGAAGAGGATTAATCTGTTCCTCAACATTTTCAAATTAACAGAATTGTCCCTCTTCGGTATGGAGCATTCTTCTCTTTCTCATAAATGCTATTTGTTATCCTCATGAAAGCATCACTCTATCCTATTGTCATAACTATATTGGTTAATATGAAAGATATAAAACCACAATAAAGGAAGAAGACAAACAAAAATGAATATAAATTGATTGTGAAGTTCAGTTTTTTTAGCATCAAGATGAGTGACTACTGTAAGGATTATTTATTTTATACACACTGTTGTTATATTGCATTGATTTTGGTGGAATAAAAATTCAAAGAAATTAGCCAAAGAATTTCTCTGGACCAACCTAGAGAAAATTTAGTCCAAACCAGAGAATTTCTCTGGACCAACCTAGAGAAAATTAGCAAGAACCAATTGTATTGAAGGATAAAATTAGCTATGAAGCTCTCTCTCTCTCTCTCTCTCTCTCGCTCTCTCAATTTAAGGCCGATACTGTTGTTTAAATTTTATTTAAATGGTTGCTCCAATTACAGAAGTGTAGTTCTTGATTAGCCAAAGCAAGAGGGTTATCTTGTTAAGCATTTTCAGTATGAATGACAGAAGTGTAATTCTGAGTTTTGTCACTAAAGATCTTGGCAGTTTGTTTTGCTTACTATGATCCAAGTTGTGTACTGAAATTTTCAGTGGGAGGTTTAGGGAAGGTCAGAGAAATTAACCAGAAAATTTTTCTTTGGTTTGGTCTAGAGAAAATTCAGTCCAAACCAGAGATGGACCGACCCAATTTTCTCTGAAGCAGAGCACTAGAAACCAAAGAATTTCTCTGGACCAAACTAGAGAATTTCTTTGGACCAACCCAATTTTCTCTGCAGAGCACTAGTGCAACCCAGAGAGTTTATCTAGACCAATCCAATTTTCTCTGAAGCAGAGCACTAGTTCAACCAAGAGAAAATTCAGTCCAAATTAGAGAATTTCTCTAGACCAACCCAATTTTCTCTGAAATACAGCACCAGTTCTTATTGTTGTCCAGAGAAATTTGGAGTTTTCTCTATGATGTGTTCAGAGAAATTTGAAATTTTCTCTGTGATTTGTCCAGATAAATTCTCTGGATCGAATTTTCTCTGGATTGATGTT